GACTGTTTGCTCTCCTCCCATCAGGTAGACGGTACAGGAGCCTGGAGTCTCATAGCAGCAGGCTCAGGAGCGGCTTTTTCCACAATACCATCAACATGCTTAACTCTCAAACCCTGCACTGGCCCACTCTCCACCTCCCCTCCCACACCATGCACCTTACTTAAGGGCTCACTGTGCCCCCCCCCATCTGTTCTGTTAAAATATTCCTTCATCCCACCTGCATTTTACTCATGCATGTCTTAATCCTTTTCACCTTATTTGTACATACTACAAACAGTAATTTTTTATCAGTGCATTCATGTCAGTAACTTCAGGTTGAAAAAGAAAACAAAACAAATGTCATACTATACGCTCTTACAAGTAAATATTGCCTCCGCAACACATTTTTTCTGCTGTAATAACTTGTAAATGTTACCTTGCCAGCCATTTTCTTCCAGTCTTTATGTATTTTACATTTATATAACCTCATGTCATTTACTTATACCCCCTCTTGTAAATATTACCTCATAAGCACCTTATACTACTATTAGCACCTCTGGTTAGATAGAAAAACTGCATTTCGTTGTACTTGAAGTCGTGTCATGTGCAATGACCATTAAGATGAACCGTGGTTGAACAGTTGAACTCCAAGGTTTACGGTAAATTCCTAACATTTTTACGTCATTCCCTATATGTTTAGGAAACGAGATAAGCCCGGAGCCCCCGCCTTCCCTAAACACACAAGGTACTACAGTATTTGTAGGGACGTGTACAAATCTACGCCCTTGCTACTGTGTTCTTTTACAACAGTTGATGTTATATAAATGGACAATAATAAAATTGGAATATTTTTGATGGGTTAGATTGTTGTGTAAAATCATTTTATGATATAAACTCCCGGTCATGTGTATATCCGAATTGCAGTGGTAGGTTATCATGTCCTATTTTATACAGTACGTGGCATACTTCCATCACGGCAGTTTGAGCTGAGGATGCTGCTACAGAAATTAGCAATCTAGCACCTTGCGCTTTAATGTAGATCCGGGCTTTTCGTGGAAGTCCCAGGAGCTCACCTGGGTTCCATCCAGCGGACTACAAATCAAATGTTTAGTCATCGTTACCAGTTATTTGCGTGTTTATCTTTTAGCCTTTTACGGTTGGTTAAAAACTGAAGATGTTTTCTTTATTCATGCCCTCATTTTATTGGGTCAGGCGGCAGCAATGAGGAGAGCGGTGCTTGCGGGGCAGAGATGCAGGCGCCGCAGTAGGCTTTGTGGACCTCGTTTATCACGCACCCTTTGCTGTCAAGTATTCGTTTTATGTGCGATAACTGCATGTTTCATGGAGCACAGACACCCGCTTTGAAGATGAAGTCTGGGATCAAGGAATAATCAGAGAATACGAATGTACAAAGCAGGCTATAAATATATTTAAACCGTGATGTCCCAAAAATCGTTTAAAAATGAGCATGTCAGTGTCTTCATTTACTTCGTTTTTTAACCCAAGATACTGCATTTGTGTATTTCTTAATATATATTTTTAAATGATATAATTTTAATGCACTGTTGACTTAATTAACAAGCACAAAAGTTTGATTAACATCCCAACATAGGTCTTACTTCTTTTTCATGTGTATTCTTGCAGTGAGTGTCCTTAGCTAGCGTCTGCGGCTGGGGGCTGGCAGCTGGTTAAAATTAAATGGGAAAAATTTGCCTGTAGCCCACAGACAGATGTACTGTATACAGCGCTCAGTGTTGTTCACACACAAACATTTTTATGACATCAAAAAAGTGTTTTGAAAGAGTACTACAACTACACTTATTTAATATTCCTGAGGTACATACTTAATTGTATTTTAGTATGACGAATGTCCCAAAATGACACTAAATTAGTTTGCATTTAGTGTATTAAACTTATATTAAAAGGCAAATAAAATATAACTTAAATATATTTAAGTTTGAATAAATTATTCCAAAATAGTGCATTTGGTACACAATACAATGGGCAATTTTGGTACAGTAATTAAAATATGGCATTAATAGCACACTTTTTTTTTTCTTGTAAAGTGTACTTTTCTAAGTGCACATCAGTACGGTAGAAATAATGTATCTATGCCTGTTGGGGAATTAAGGATCTCACCTATCCTATTTTGCTCTCTATGAGACACACAGAGGCACGTACAGGTGAGAGCAGATCGTGGGATCAAAGCGGATGGTCAGAGTCATTGGGGCTAAGGGCCTTGCTAAAGGACCAAACAGTAGCATTAGTTTGCCAGCCGTAGGATTTGAGCCGCACCCCTTTACACTTGACTTGATTTTCACACTATTTATTATTACAATGATGTAAATTACCATTTTTGTATACTTATTTGCACTGTATCATTGCTGCTGTTGTGAGATGTTGCACACAAGTTTTTCACTCACCTTTACTATACCATATGTCAAGTGATGAGGCAAAGTAATTTTATTTGGTTTATATTGCATGAGTCACATCCGATACTTCACTGTGTAAGTGTACAGCGATTTTTACTACCATGTATGATTACCTACATTTTTAAATGATTGTCATAATATAGTTTTTTCGTATTATTAAAATTAAGCAGCTCCTGATAGCTTGTTTGTACCGTACGTTGAAGGTTTATGAAGCTGAAGTCAGCGAGTCCTGGAGGTAAAGCGTTGGGTTGTAGTAAACTACACAGTCCACAAGATGGGGATGTTGCTTTAATGGTCAAGTCAATGTGTCAGCAATGGGTGTTTTTCAATACCAAGAATTCAAAGATCATACTTTGTGGCACTGTTTTCGAATTCAGGGAATGCATCCGTCTAATAAGGCTGCTTTCAAAGACCGAATGTATCAGGGGTGCAACAAGGCTGTCCCATTTTGAAGGCTCCTTCAATTCAGCCTAGAAATGCATTGTTCTTTTGCCAAGATTCTTTATGTAATCCTACACAGGCTGCATAGATTGTGTCCTTCGAAGGGTGCAGCCCCTGAATTTCGACACAGCCGTAGTCTTGATAACTTTCCTCCTGAGAATGAACTTGGGGCACAGTGAATAATGGAATTGGTCTCATTTGGTGAGGATACAACCGATGTATCCTTGATAACTGGGGCGGGGCAAGAGGGACACCCAGGGATGTTTACCATCCTCTCTGCGTCTGTTCTTAGTATTGGAACTGGTCTTCAGCAATGCATTCTCCGGTGCGGCCTGATGTGGGTCTTGGCTGCATGCTCTCAGCCCTGCGTGTGCTGCACCTTGTGTGCTTTCAGGCCCTGAGCCGTGAGGAAATGCTCAACGCGCTGCAGGCAGGCATGCGGGCGCTCGCAGTGGTGAATGATCCCGTGAGCCTTCAGAGTGCCAGCCAGACAGAAGCGCTTATCGCACAAGCTCTCCCCCATGCACATCCACTCGTGCGCTGCCGCTCCCTGGTGCTGTGGTCAGCGCGGTTACACATGCGTGCTTTCAGGGTGTGTTTGGTGCCCAGGCATGTCCACACGTGGCTCTGCTGCTTAGAGCTGTGGCTGCGGCGAGTGCAGATGTGGGCCTTGATCCGATGCCACTGCACGTGCTGCTGGAGGATCCATTTCTTCTGGAAGCTCTTGTCACACATGCCACTAATGTAGCTGGACAGACGTGGTGGCCTGGGTGGGAAGTCCAAGGTCCTCCTTAGCTGTGGCGGTGACAGTAAAGTTTTCCTTTCTTGTCTTGTCTACGTCAGGTAGTGTTGCTGGTCACTTCGGGATTGCGTAACATGATGTGACAAACGGTGAGGGCAGAATTGACCAGTGAGCAGCCGAGAGAACAGTCTCAGGCCAGATTATTGCAGGCTACATATACAGTTGGCTTCAAAACAACAATAACCAATCACAAGGCTGAAAGACCCCAAAAGAATCTGTTGTCTTTATTTAGTTAAAACCATTTTCAGAGCCAATCTAACAGCTTCTGCCCTTCTTTTGTGATGTTCCAGTGTTAGCTAGGTGTCCAGCACACAGCCTTGTTTTGTTTGCTGATTACATTGTCCTTATGACCCAGGAGGACACTGAACACTGTGGATCACCAGAGACCATCTCTGCCTGAGAAGAAACTAAGACTCTTCTCAGGTTTAAAGGTTTAAAAGTTATTGTTATTATTCAAAATGGTAAAAAGTGCCATGAGCACAAGTGTTTTCTGTTGGAAAACCACACTATGGTTAACAGACTGATCTTCTAGAGACTTCTACTTGAGCCAAATGCTAAAAGCAAACATTATCTTACAGAGACACTTATGACAAAGACCATTAGTTGAGTGACAGTGAGCACCACAGTCTACCCTGTACATGGCTTTATGCTTCTAATCCTATGATGATTGTCTGTAATACAAAATTATATTTATTGCTAATAAGGATCAGTATACCTGTCAAAGACAGCTATTAATTAATTCCATCTGAATGCAATCGCTAGTGATATAGGGCATACATTTCGCTGTTTACAGTGCGTGCTAGGGCAGCCATTTTCTGTCTCAGAGTGGGAGGGGCCTGGTCTGCATTCACGTCAGCGTGACATCATTCGGACAAACTCTGTGGACAAAGAGAGAAAAGAAGCAGGAAAGAGGACAAAGTGTCCAGCAGTGTGTCAAGACCTCCTGACAATATTTACTCACTCACTGCATCACTTACCATAAATGTGGCAGTATTTTTCTTCAGTCTGTCTAACCTCCCTCCTCGCCCCCTTTGTTAACCCCCCTTACCCTCGAAGTCAACCAGGCCGTCCCCGTTGAGGTCCACGTCCTTCAGGATCTCGTCGATCTCCCTGTGGTTCAGATGCTCTCCCATCAGCTTCTTCATGGCTTCCCTCAGTTCGGTTAGGCTAATCTGTCCGTCACCATTGGAGTCAAACTGAGAGCGGGGCAAGTATAGAAGGAGGAGGAATCAAAATGAGAGGGGCAGTGGCGGAAGGACAGAGACACCCAAAAAAGCATTAGTTTGAGACAGAAAAAACACTGATTAACACTTGTAGCAATGGGTCCCCAAACTGAGCCTTCTTTAATCCGCACCTCCCTGAAGGCATCCCTCAGCTCCTTCACCCCGATCATGTCTGCAGTCTCTGCCAGCATCTTGGGCCCCATCAATTCCACAAAGTCCTCAAAATCCACTCTGCCGCCACCTACAGGAGAGTAGGTGTTCATATGCTCTTTAACTCAGCACCTGGGACCTTCAACTAATGCTGACATCTTGCTTGAATAAACTGGGTTTAAAGTCACCACCACCAAAGTGCCAGGTGAGGGACTCACAGATCTGTTGGCTCAACTCGATGAGCTCCATCTCCGTTGGCATGTAGCCCATGGTCCTCATACACTCTCCCAGGTCTTTACAGCTGATAAATCCATCCCTGTCCTTGTCAAACTCCCTGAAGGCCTCCTTCAGCTCTGTGCCAAGGCAGAGACGGTGTGTGGGCTTTCTGAGGATGTGAGGAGGAACACTAGGGGGCACTCATGCAGCATTTCTGACAGTCACTGAGCATAATGCACTAGTGTTTGTAGTACCTTCGATTTCCTCTGGGCGCAAATCTCTGTCCTTCAGTGATTGAGGTTGCAGTGGGAGAGCAAGAGATTCATGAATATACAGGAATTTAGGAAGATAGGCAGCTTTATAAACAGGAACAGGGAGGATTAGCATGAAAATACAGACTCTGAGACAGACTGGGGTCACATTGAGGCTCAGGATTGCTGAGGGCACAGCTGACTATGATGGCTACATTCTGACAGCAGGTGGTGTTGTGGTTAACGCACTGGATATCTTACTCAGCAAGAAAAGCTTTATGTCCCTGCCACTCCATGATTAATCCATGTGTACAGATGGGTGCAGTGTGAACTCAGGATTGGTGTGACGCATTGTGTAGAGCTGCAGCATCCTGGCTGCGGCTCCTGGCAGAATCGGGCAGGTCCCGCCACACACAGACATATATACACACAGAAGCATACGGTGTCCTCCTCATGGTCATCTTGATGCTGGGAACTGGTGCATGGGGGTCATATGACTCTGGTCATGTGACGACGAGGGAGGTGTATGGCAGCGCTGTCAGGCCAATGGACAACACTCACAAAGTTCTCAGTCAAAACAAGATCTGCATTTCAACAGTTACATATTTAGTTTAAAAAGCGCAGTCAGTGTCTTTGAGAGTGCATACGTACGAGTTGAGCCTGGGCGAGTCCCTGTCTGAGGAAGATGCAGGCAGGACCCACTATGTGGTGCAGCATGGTGCAGTTGTGGACCAGCATGCTCAGTGGGTCGTCAAACTCCTGTTCATTCCCTGAATCTGCTAGGGTGAGGTCCTCCCCATGCAGATGGGCCCCTGTCCAGGCCTGGGGTCCTCCCCTACCCTGAAGGAAGGCTGCAGCCAGAGGGGCTCCACTCCCATCCATGGCGGCAGCCCCCTTTGAGGCCAAAACAGGTAGGTTAATACATGCCTACCTAGAGAAGTGCATGAGTTGATATGCAAGCAGAGCAGCTCATATTGCAGACCCCCTGCGTAAATAATGCTCATACTACAGACACCCTGTATAAATAACAGAGGTGGACATTTCAGGTCAGGTCAGGTTGGCGCACCCACCACACAGCAAAACTCATCAGGATCCCGGCCGGTGATCCCCCAGGCAGATACACGGTCCAGTCCCACCCTCCGGAAATGGCCCCTTAGCCTGTTCCAACCACTTGGGTCCTCAGTAATGAGGATCCTGCGAGCCAGATCACCCTCAGGGAAACGCACCACATGGCCGTAGTGCCGTAACTGACGCTCCCTCACAATGCAGGTAATGTGCCTCATTCAGGACGACGGTAGCAACCGCTCATTCGACACAAAGTCAAACCAGTGGTACCCAATGATTCTCCGAAGGAGTCCAGTCTTCGTCTCAGCTCAATCGATAGCGTCCATGTCTCACAGCCATACAGCAAGACAGGGAGCACCAGGACTCTATTGACATGGACTATCATCCTCTTACAAAGATATCGGGAGCGCCACACACCCCTTTTCCAGCGACCTCATGACCCCCATGCTCTTCCAATCCATCTGCTGACTTCATAGGAAGAATCACCAGAGACATGAATATCACTGCTGATGTTGGTAAATCTCTTGACAAGGTCGACATTCTCCCCACAGACAGACACACTACTGATGGCTGTGCCCAAGAAGTCATTAAATGCCTGGATCTTGGTCTTTATCCAGGACACCCGCAATCTCAGACACTCAGACTCCTCTCTTAGTCTCTTGAGAGCCCCAATCAGAGCCTCCATTGACTCCGCTAAGATCATGGCATCGTTGGCAAAGTCAAGATCAGTAAATCTTTCTTCACCGATGGATGCCCCACAATAATATCCAGGGTGCCCTGTGAAATGAAACACCTCCTTCTGGGAACACAGCCATTGGCAACCTTCAGGGTCTTATCATGGAAGGTCTCCCACATCACATTAGAGTCAGAAGTCGCACCCAAGTCTGCAAGTTCCTCACAAAGACTGCATGCAAACTCATCAGAAACAGCTTGATCTTGGAGTCTAGCCAAGTCCAGCCTCATTCTCCTAGTAGGTGGTAGCCTACTGGATCTAAGCTGAATCTACAGAGTAGCAACAACAAGTCTGTGGTCAGAATTCACAAACTGGACACTTCTGTAGACCCTGCAGTTCTGCAGGAGCCTTCAGCGTCTGCCCATGAGGATGTGATTGATCTCCTTCGGTGCACCACCAGTATTTGAGTACCAAGTTCAACGATGCGGCTCAGGGTGTTGGAACCAGTATTCAGCGACCTGCAGCCCCTTACGTTTCAACCCTTCAACCACCGAGTGAAGTTGCGAGAAAAATGTCTCCCTCAACGAGACATCACTCACCGCAGTTGGAGCATACACTGAGACAACAGACAAGACACCCAATGAGTGCCTTAGCCTGAGTCTCATAATACGCTCATTGAAAGGAGTGATATCAGACACCATTGGAAGGAGCCAATCTGCTAGAGTAACAGCTACTCGCCGAGTGTGGCAGACATCAGACCGACCAGATCAAAAGTAGGTATACCCACCTACAGAGATCTGACCACTCCCCCGGCTGCAAACCTCAGAGAGTGCTGCCACCGAAATGCAGAGTTTACTAAACTCCCCCAACAGCAGAGCAAGATGTTTCACGTGCCTACCCGGATGGGTCACCTCAAACTGGGACCCAAGTGCTGCCATGCAGCAGGTGATGCCTCAGCACCACACCAGCCCCGATCCCCAACAGGCTTGACCCTATTAGCTGTCTGACGGTTTCGACTTGTTCTGGGATGGAGCTCCTGAAGGCTTTCCCCCATCCACCTTCATGGTGTGTGCATCATTTCTGCGGGTGGCTGCAGCAGAGCCACTCCCGCGGAGAGCAGAAGAGTATCTAGCTTGTTCAGATCGAGCAATTGTGAGTTGTTTTACAGTGGCTGGAGTGCCAGTCCTGCCACCAACCCCCAAAAAATTGTATTCCCTGTAAGTTGGAGGACCGCTTGCGGGGCCAGATGCAGTTTAACGTCATACCCAGGACAGTTGAGAACTCTGTGACTGTGACTCTTTATGCTCAACTGGTTGGTTGAAACAAAATCCTGGTTTGGATTTTTACTTTCTGGACCTTAAATGGCCATCTCTGGAAAATAATGCTCTTACTGCAGACATCCTTTATAAATAACACTTATCCTGCAGATCCTCTATGTAAATACCCCTCATACTGCAGACCCTCTATTTAAATATGCCTTATACTGCAGAACCCCCAGCGTAAAGCTCTGGAGGCAGATTTGCCGGCCGGCTCCTGTCAGATGTACCATGGCTGAAGCTCATTTCAGCAATGGTGATAATCCAGACGGACAGGGATAAAGTTATTCCTGCATTTGGCAGGAGTGCCCCCACAGTGTGAGGCTGGTGATGCGGATTCATGCAGCTGACTGCTGCTGCTCATGTCTGCCTGCCTCTCTGAACAGCTGATTTGTAGTGCATAAAGCCATCATGTGGTTTGTGCCTGCATGTGCTCAGGTCGTCTCTTTTCGATGTTTCTGATGCTAACTGCTCAACCAGTCTAATTATTCTCATTCTTTTGTTTTGCATGGACGGACCACAGATGCCCTCTGTGTTGAGCGATACTCTCTCACTGACTCCTAACAGGAGTTAATTCCCCTGACCTTGGTAATTCAGATTTCTCTTATTTGTGTGAGAATCTCTTCTGTCAGGACTGGTTTGTATCAGGTTCTGGCTTAGGGTGAGATATAAGTTAAGTAAAGCGCCAAAGAAAGAACTCAACACAGTGACTTCAAAACTGTCATGCCCGCACAGGCACATGGACACCAGAAACAGCAGCAGGCATCTGTTGTGCTGTATGGACAAGTGAACCTCTACGTTCACACGACGAGGAACGGCTGCGTGGGACCTGCTGCCTTCTCTGCTGCTGTCAGAATGTCAATCTTACCTTGTTCGTTTTGCTCCTCTTTGTTGGTTTTGTTATATTTCCCATCCTCCTCTGGTTTCTGCCTTTATCTCCCCCTGTCTCCCTCACTCCCTTCCTCTTCTTGTTGTCCAGTCTTTCTGTCCACTCCTGTTACATAAACTTGGCGGTGTTAGAATTTGCTGTAAATGTGACCATTTCTGCCCATCCAGGAAATGGCAGATGAGATGACAGGTGAGATACAGCAGGTGATACTAATGACTGCAGCGGATCTTCAGGTCTTCAAAATGACAGCATTGATGCCTGATATCATGTTTTCCAGATATCAAGTGCAGCTGTAGAAAGTTTCTAAATTGGACTGTAATACAGTAGTAAGTTTAATGATGCCCTGTGCATCTGTCGGCTCCGTATATTCTTGTTTGGTCTCTTTCACGATCACTCCATCCATCCCTCTTTAATCCCTCCCTCACTTTTACAGTGCAAATGACCAGCAATAGAAGAGAGAGAGAAATAGAGTGACAGCGGATTTGGGAGGAGAAACACTAAAAAGCCCTTTAATCCCTGGAATTTCAGATTAAAGAAAAGGGAGAAAGTTGGACTGCAAGACTGTGACAGTGAGCTGTACACATCCTGTCTGTCAGCCTGCATCAGTGAGCTGTACACATCCTGTCTGTCAGCCTGCATCAGTGAGCTGTACACATCCTGTCTGTCAGACTGTCACAGTGAGCTGTACACATTCTGTCTGTCTGACTGTCACAGTGAGCTGTACACATTCTGTCTGTCTGACTATCACAGTGAGCTGTACACATTCTGTCTGTCTGACTGTCACAGTGAGCTGTACACATTCTGTCTGCCTGACTATCACAGTGAGCTGTACACATTCTGTCTGTCTGACTGTCACAGTGAGCTGTACACATCCTATATGTAAGACTGTCACAGTGAGCTGTACACATTCTGTCTGTCTGACTGTCACAGTGAGCTGTACACATCCGGTCTGTCAGACTATCACAGTGAGCTGTACACATTCTGTCTGTCAGGCTGTGACAGTGAGCTGTGCACATCCTATATGTAAGACTGTCACAGAGAGCTGTACACATCCTGTCTGTCAGCCTGTATCAGTGAGCTGTACACATCCGGTCTGTCAGACTGTCACAGTGAGCTGTACACATCCTGTCTATCAGCCTGTATCAGTGAGCTGTACACATCCGGTCTGTCAGACTGTCACAGTGAGCTGTACACATCCTGTCTGTCAGACTGTTAAGGTGAACCAGTCAGCCCTGTACAGTACCAGCCTTCCTGCCCAACAGCATAGGTTTCATTTGAGGTGATATAATAATTGAAAGACAAAGCTCTATTTTATATGATGGGTGAATGAATCCAAAATAAATACTGGGGGGTACACGTCCCACTTCCCTATGCCCTGTGGTTCCTATGTGCTTGCCCCTGCCCAACTTGCTGATTTCCCTTGTGTAGTCTTTCATAATGCTCCGTCAGCAGATGATAGCATAGATATGCTATGGAACATTCCCAGTGGTTTGCTGCACCCATTAAAAGATAGCCACACTTTGTTACACTGGTTAGATTGCACTGGTAGTGGTGTGTGCTGCAGTACCTGCAAATGACCACAAGATGACAGCCTGACACAGTCCAGCTGTACTTGGACACTTCTGTAAATGCTTAATTAGATACGCAGATAGAAGCCTTTCAAAAGTGCTCAGTTGGAGAAGATTACTTCATAAAGGTAGCATAATGACTGAAGCACACAAGCGTCTGCAGATCAATCAATTTATTTTTATATAGTGCTTTTTCACAACATTACATTGTCTCAAAGCACTTTACATTATCCCTGCTTAAAGCCCAAAGTCCACAGTGAGCAAGCCTGAGGCGACAGTGACAAGAAAAAACTCCCTAGATGGAAGAAACCTTGGGAGGATCCAGACTCAAAGAGGAAGCCCAACCTCCAGGGGAAGGGGAATAGAGCTGTGTCACTCCAGCATACCTGTCTGTGTCTCTCCCTCAAAGCCCTATCAGCTGGCCTGTCTGTCTCTCTCCCTCAGAGCCCTATCGACTGGCCTGTCTTTGTCTCTACCTCAGAGCCCTATCAGCCGGCCTGTCTGTGTCTCTCCCTCAGAGCCCTATTGGTCTGCCTGTCTGTCTCTCTCCCTCAGATCCCTACCGCTTGGCCTGTGTGTGTCTCTTCCTCAGAGCCCTATCAGCCGGCCTGTCTGTGTCTCTCCCTCAGAGCCCTATTGGTCTGCCTGTCTGTCTCTCTCCCTCAGATCCCTACTGCTTGGCCTGTGTGTGTCTCTTCCTCAGAGCCCTATCAGCCGGCCTGTCTGTGTCTCTCCCTCAGAGCCCTATTGGTCTGCCTGTCTGTCTCTCTCCCTCAGATCCCTACCGCTTGGCCTGTGTGTGTCTCTTCCTCAGAGCCCTATCAGCCGGCCTGTCTGTGTCTCTCCCTCAGAGCCCTATTGGGCTGC